CGCGCGTAGAACCCCTTGTACCCGCCCTCGATGCCGTAGATGCTGGTCACGCCGTACATGTCGTGGAGGCCGCACACGAGCTCGCGGATCACGGTGTTGAGGCCAGGGCAGAGGCCGCCGCAGGTGACGATCGCCGCCGTCACCTCGTCCGGCTGGAAGTAGACGCGCTGACGCGGGCCGGCGCGCCGGAAGTGCGTCCCGCGGGCGCTGCTCTTGTGCACCACGATCTTCTTCGCCACCGTGTCGTCCGGGTTCACGAAGTACTGCCTGCGCGGTCGGAGCAAGCCGGATTTGTTTAATTTATTTCAACAAGAAACAAGAAATCGAAGACGGTAGAACAATAATTCGTCGGATTGCTTACTTGACAAACAGAGTAGGCAGGGTGGTCTTGCAGGGGATTCGGGTAGCTCTGCACATGAACAAGAATCAAGAACATGAGCTAAAGCAATCCATCTGATTAACTAAAGCAATCTTTGTCAAGAAAGATGATTAGATGAATTAACTTGGGACTCACCTTGAGCTCAGGAAGGTAGTCGGTGAGGTGCGGGACGTCCTCAAGGACGTACCCGCCACTGCCGCCGGCGAGCTTCTTCTTGCCGGCTTGGCCTTCCTCGCCGGGTGACGGTTTCGCCACGGCGGCAAAGGAAGGCTTCAATTCCATAAGCTTGTGCTGCGGTGGCTGAGTGATGGCCACCGGAGCCGGCGCGACAACGACGGTGGCGGTCTCCATCGGTCGCAGTCAAGCAAGCAAGCAAGCTCAGGACTGTTGATCGGCGGACTGACCTATCGATTGGACGAGGGCGCTGTCCGACGACTGAATTCGCCGGAATTGATGGGGAGAGCGAGGAGTGCTACTAATTCTTGTATTTACTCCTGATGAGACTTGGGATTGCTGTGAGAAGGCGGGAAATCGGGTGCAGGGTTTATATAGCCGAAGCCGGGGCGTCCGGGCGGTGGCAGGACGAAGAGCTGCGTTTGCGTTGTGGCGACCGCGTGCAGGACAAAACAGAGGAGTCGGCGTTTTCGGCATCGGAGTTGGAGAGCGCGTGGGTTTCAGCCCTCGGGTTCTCAGCTCACGCCTTTTTCTCCCGTTGTTTGTTCTTTATTTATTTTTTATTTTTATATATAAAAGAAAAAAACTGGACGTTTCAAACTTCTTTGTGAAATGATTTGGCAGATTCGATTGATGCTTATTCTAGTTTACCATTGTGGAGTTACCTTAATCATACTTTACCAATGGTATTTCCACCTATCTTATGATCTGTTTATTTATCTTTATAAGAGAAGGTATTTTAGGGCCATTCACAACATTAGTTGGAAAAATTAGATAGATTATTGAACACTTCATATTCTTTGTGAAATAATTTTGAGAATTAGTCAAATAGACCATTTGTTTATCAATGATTTAATGCCAACCGCGGCATTACACGAATCCTATATAACGTGTACATCTAATAAAAAATAAATATAAAAAATGTTCTTGAAAATCTTTAGGGTGATCATTATTTCAATATGGACAGTTCCACGCTGTGCAATTTGGCGAGAACAGTATAGTTGCATTTGACAAGAACTAATATATATTACTCTCTCACTGCATGATAAGCATATTATGATTAGAAAAAAAATCATGTGAAATAGATTTTAATTATTAGTTTCTCTTACAATATGTTACCTTTTGGTAAACAATCAATATCATCTTAGAGCCATTTTGAATACAAATCTTTTGTCCTAAACTCTATACAATTTGACTAATTGCTGGTCAAAATTTGTCAAGTTTTGATCTTTTCCTATACAAAAATACATTTATAATTCTAATATAGAGGGAACAATATTTAGCTGCCATTTTCACATACCCCGTTCTAAATTATACTTCATTTTGGCTTTTTTAAGAACATACTTTTTTATATGCAACTAGATATATGTTATATTTAGATATATAACAAAAATTATATATCTCGAAGAGCTAAAGCGATTTACAATTTAAAATGAAAAAATAGCAATTAAATTTGCATGTCCTTTGATTCCCATGTCCAAAAGTGTCTAGATATATTTTATGTTGAGATATTAAGATACATAACAAAAATTATATACCTAGAAGAGCTAAAACTACTTACAATTTAAAATGAAAAAATAGCAATTAAATTTGCATGTCCGGTGATTCCCATGTCCAGAAAGTGTTACATGGTCCGTATTTACGAAAACTGTATACCCCGGTGTATGGGGTCACTTTTCCTTTGGCCCGTGTGGCCAGTTATATTAATAGAATAGAAAAATACCGAAAATCCCTCTTTGTTTTGACCCGGGTAGCCATTAATCACGTGGACATATCAGGAAGGGAGAATGGCGGGCTGGCGGCCTCAGCAACGGGAAGATGCGGCGAGGGAGGGTGACCCACGGGCCCCATTGGTCAATCACGCAGCCATCAAACTTGAGGTTAATTTAACTACTATGTAGCGTGTTCGTGCGTTGCTACGGGATAGCTAATATTTTATACTTAAAATACACGGATCGCACAATAAGATAACAATACTGTAAAAATTAAATACCAATGTTAAAGTGACATTTAATTCAAAAAACAAAGTGTGTGAAATTAACACAAGTCACGGAGAGCGCGGCGTCGCAGGCTCACAAACTCTACTTTATAGGTCTTTTCCGTGATGTTGCTAAGATAATATTTTATATTTGTAGGAAGAAATCTCCGATATCCATTTCTTTCATGCGTCAACAAATCTATAAATAAGTTCCGCCGCATCTCCATACCATCCTGTACACATGTTTGAGTATATATGTAAATATTAGTGCCTGTCACATGGGTAATACTACACTATCTTATCTTATTTGTAGTTGTTAGTCTTGTCTTTCAATGGTGCAACAGAACAATTATTTTTCAGTGTAGAAATCAATAAGGGGTCATTTGGATTAATAACTTGGAGCAAACTAATACAGAAATGATCTATATATTTCTTCCATACATCAACATCCTGTCATTGAGAAAAGGTTGCAAGGTTTGTGGATTAATAACCTGGAGCAAACTAATACAGAAAAATGGTTATCATGGTAAATTCCTGCTGCCTCCTTCTTGTCAATTAAACAGAATCCATTGCAAGTTTCTTTTTTCGCATCTAAAAGATCAACTTTATTTTCTCTCAATTTGAATAGAAGAGTTATCTTGCTCTCTTCATGATGAGGACCTTGGTGGTTCATCAGCAAAACTTGGACAATTAGTAGACAAAGCTGCCCTAAATCAAGTCTGTAAAGCAAAGTCATCAGATACTCTCAAGCATTCACCTGATGATGAATAGAAGGGGAAATAGTTTATTTACAACCCAGGCTACTCGATGTTCATGTTTTACTACTTAAAAACGTATTCAGGAAGTGCTTTGACTTTTGAAAAAAAAGTGGTGGGCACATGTGGCGGTTTGCATACATCCCCTGACTCTCAAATGCAATCTGAAAAAGGAGAGGCATGGAGTTGGATACTTGCTGTTGCATATGCATAGCTGAAACGTATAGGGAACAAAATTAAGGAGGTTTCCTTTTGGTTCGTCCGGCGCGAGGTTTCCTTTTGAACGCGCACGGGGTGGCGAGGTTGGAGCCACGGTATCGCACGGACAGAAGGGAAGAACGACCCCAAAAAAAGTCGCACAAAAAAATTGTCTTACTTTTATTCTTTTTAGTTGTAGGAGATAATAATGACTCGACAAAGTATTTATATTGAAGTCTAAAAGGGGAGGCACCAAGGCAAGTCAAAATGCATATAAACCATAATATTTGTATTCAAATCAACCTCACGTTTCCCAGCTCCTTTTCAGTAACACAAGCTATGTAGCTAGCAAGTAGCAACATTCTGAAACTACAATGAAGTGTTCAGAACATGAGATTGTTTCTCGATAAAGAATTGCAAAGAGAGATTCATTGAAGGATATATACCAATAAAAGAGCATGGCGTATTTGATTCTTTTCCTACTAATTGGGCTATGCACATTCTGAAACTATTATCAGTGATGTGCTAAAGTGAGCTACTAAGATTCTTATCATTGCCAGATAACTCTGACAGATTCATGTATATACTACTTCATAGTGACTATAATGGCAAGGTAGAGATCTGGCTTTTTTTTACTCAGGTAAGAACTAGTGACATTTTTTTCGATAAAGGAAGAAGAACTTGTGACATACTACTAAGCATAGTTAAGTGATGATCACCATGGCCAAGAAAAGCATCCATGACAAGTGCCCCGGACACCATGGCCACACTGATCAAGCTGAATTTAGGCGATGTCTGCGCATCCAAGAGTGTGAAGAGTATGAGGCCAATGACGAGCATCACGGCTGATCTGTACTCTTGGAATGGGTACTTGCGCCTTAAACCCAGGATAAAGCTAGGCTCCCATTATCATCACCGGTAGAACCTGATGAGTGATGATGACTAAACAGAAATAGATTAGTACCTCTCTACTATATGCTTATCTCCTATAACTAAAAAAATAAAAATAAGATAATTTTTTTGGTACGATTTTTTTTTAAGTCACTTCTCCTTCCCGTCCGTGCGATACCATGTCCCCAGCCGCCCGCTCCCTCCCCTCAAATCACGCTCCATCCCCCTCCAACCACGCTCCCTCCCTTCCCCATGCGCGCACCCAAGCCGCCGCCGCCTCTCCCACGTCCCTCCCCCTCCCCACGCATTCGTCCACACCTCCGCCGTTCCCCTCCGAGCCAGCCCCGCCCGGCAAGGCCATCTAGCCGCGTCTCGCCGCGGCGTCTCCTCCCTGCTCGCTTGCCTCCTCGCCCGCCCGAGCCGCAACTACACCGACTTGCGATCAGCGCGCTGCGATAAAGGAAGGAATTACCATGAGAATGGAAGGGCTGCTGTACCACGAGGTGCAGGAGGGGAAGCTCTGCGCCATGCACTGCGTCAACACCGCCCTAGAGGGCCCCTTCTTCTCCGAGTTCGACATCTCGCCGCGCTCGCCGTCGACCTCGACCAGCGGGAGCGCCTGGTGATGCTCGAGGGCTGCCGAAGCCCCGGCGCCTCCAACGCTGCCACAGGGGACTTCTTCACCGTGGGCGAGGGATCCCACAAGGTCTCCTCGACGGTGATTTCAGCATCCAGGTTAGTCCAGGCCATCTAGGTCCAGGCTTCATGGAGATTATACATTTAGGTTTCTAATCTAGGGCTCCGTTAGATCGACCGATACGTAGATCACACAGCTTATTCCGTGGACTGGGTTGCAAGTTGGTTGTATGTTCAGATCGCTGCTTGGAATTGAGGGATTTTTGCTCGAGCATTGCTGTTTGGAAGTCGTCGATTGCCTCAGGTTGACATGGATGATGCCCACCAAGTGTCCAAGTGTTTGCTGAAATGCCCTCAAGGTAATAGTTTTGATTTCTCGACGATTTTTAGTGAATTTGAGGTGGATTCCATTGTTTCCTTTCCTTTGGGTCCGAACTGGAGTGACAGCTATGTGCTCTCAACTTTTTCTTCATGAGTAATCAATCATGTGCTATTGCCATTTAAATGAAAGAAAATGCAGATATGTTGTTTAAGCTCTTGCAGATCAACTTGCTGCAGAGCTGTTGAAACTTGAGAGGCACTTGCAGACATTTTCTCACAGGAAAAAAATGAGGTTGTGGGATGTTACTTGGAGAAATGGTATCTGAATTTGTGTTGCTTTCTGTTTCGAGTTCTGAACTTTCAACTTGCAAATGCCATACATGCTAAAGTGGTTTGGGTTGTGCACATGGGATGCATTTTACACCAATCTTACTATTGGAAGACTGAGGGAAATACTAAAGATATTTACAAATGTCATACATTTTCGACAATACTGATCCATGTCACATTATAAGTATACTCTGACCCCTACATATATTTCCTTTATTTTCAGAGGTGGAGTTTTTTTTTTCAGAGGTGACAATGTATATGTCATTATGGATCCTGCGGGAATTGCATGCTCATTTGATAACTCAGCCAAGTAAGCAGACTAAACATATTACACTTTATCACTCATACTTATTTTTTTGTACAAAATGTAAGTAGTTTCAGTTCAGATTCTGTACTTTGCCTGTTCTGTCTATTACCTTTGCAAACAGGTTGACTCATATAGTCATATTAAGGGGAACCACAAATTTCAGAAGATAGGTATGAGAGCTATAAGCTATTTCTGGGAGAAAAAGTGTGGCTACCTGCAGTTGTTTGGATCTCAATTCTCACGGTAGAAACAAATTGATGTTGCTAATCCTTCACTAAAATAGGAAAGCTAAGCAGATTTCTGGTTAAATTCCATTGCAGGGATGAACCCTTTGTAGTTATTACTTACGAATGAGATGGACATGCTCCTTTCTCTTACCTGGTTCAACCTCGCTCCTTTGAAGTTCGATTGATCGTACTGGAATACAGGATTGGATCTGTGGTATAGGGTGTAGTGTTCCTTGATGTTGCACTAATCAGGATTTTCGTGCAGTGCAGGTGTTTGCGTATTTGCTGCGGCGGTACGTTGCCTGCGGACGATGGAGGAAGCCGGTGATGAAGATCGGCTCAAGAGGGCGCTGTAGATGCATGGTCAGGACTCACGAGGCTGTGGGGTTCCTCATGTTTGCTAAGGCCAAACTGGGCGACAATGCTTACAAGGAGCTCGTCTAGGCAGGCACGGGACATTGCTCAATAGTATATCTGCACTCTACGAACCATCCATTTTGTTCCTGGTTACATATGTTCTTCTCTTCTGTGTTGCAGTTCAAATCCTGAAGGTGAAATCACAGTACAAAAATGCGAAGAATTCCTATCTCAGGTATTTGTTGGCCAAACTCACGTCCTATAAGGCTTCAGTCACCTCGTCGAAGTAGGTGATCCCTCCCAGGATGACCACCATTCTTTATAGGAATCACTCTCATTCACGGATAAAGTGAAGGTGATGTGCACGTCTGCTCCTTGCTTGAGGTATTATGGCTTGGTGTCCATGGCTGCTTTTACTTGATGCGCATTTCTTTACTTTGTGTTTGCAGGCGTCATCCATATCTGATGAAGATTACGAAGATTTTTTGGTCACCATATCTGAGTCAATGGCAAAAAAGATCACTGATCAAGAGACATACCTAAAGGTTTTTGTTTTTCTTGGTGGTTTGTCGAGAACAATTGGACAGTCGTTTTACAACCATTTGTCTTTGTAAGTAAAGAGAGCTATGCGCCAGATGAAAATCATAGTGCAAGTCATAGCTTGGATGGTAACGAAGAAACAGGTACTCTGTGGATCTCCGACTTCTTGCAAACATCTACAAGAGGTGTGTCAGTTTTCCCGAGAAGTTTGTTTATATGTTTTTTAAAGGTGGGCGTGAGCTCCGCCGCAACCTCGCCCTCTCCTTCCCGGCGCCGGCAAGCCACAGGCGAGAGGAAGAGCTGCTACGAGAGGATATCAGTTCCCTCCAAATGATAGAGCCCTTTAGTTTTATCGTAGCGTTAGCACGGACACACTACTCGGCAATCAACAAGTCCGATTCTTTTGATATAGTTCCTCCAAATGATAGAGCCCTTCGATACTTCTTGTTTTATATAAACCACAGAGATGAGTATGTATAGCTGTGAATTAGTTTTTTGGTATTTAACTTTATATTGTTTCAAAGGATTATAAATTAATAATAATGATATTGTTTTGGGTGGGTGTCGATCCACTCTGCGGCGATCTCCGGCAAATCATAGATCATTGACATCCTAAACGCAGGACATAGATGGGTAACTAACTCAGAGTCATCGTTGCTTACAATAATAATACCTATGATTTAACTATTTCTACATATTGCTGATAGTGAATCTTGCCATAGACACTTAAGTGGATATCTGTATGGAATAAACCAAAAGCTATACATATTTATACGGTGAGTATAACACTTTGTTTTAATTTTTTGTAGAAGATTTTTCAAGAGACGCAGTATTATCCATGCGACAAGCACTAATATTGACATATATACTCGAATCTGTGTACAGGATGGTATGGAGATGCGGCGGAACTTATTCGTGGATTTATTGGCGCACGAAAAAATGGATATCGGAGATTTTTTCCTGTCGATATAAAATATTATCTTAGCCGCATCACGGAAAGGTCTATAAAGTAGAGTTTGTGAGCCTGCGACGCCGTTCACTCTGTGACTACGTTAAATTCATAAACTTTGTTTTTTGGATTAAATATCACTTTAACGTTGGTATTTAATTTTTACAGTATTTTTATCTTATCGTGCTATCCGTGTGTTTTTAGTTCAAAATGTTAGCTATCCCGTAGCAACGCACGAGCACGCTACCTAGTTATTATGTAAAAAAAAAGTAAGAAATGTACTATTCGTGGGAAATGTAAGCATATACAGTTTGGTATATTAAGTTTCTGCTCAGAATGTTTCTTTGTAGTTATATATCATTATCTGAACATTCACATGAGTTTGTGTTTTATCGCATATGACAAGAAAGTAAAGTGCTATTACTATTACTAATACATCGTTTTTTTCTTGAAATTCAGTCACTTAGATACAGAAATCAAATCAAACCGTAGCTGCCAAGAATTTTTAAAATAGACACATCAAGTAAAGAAGAGTCCAAAACGTGCTAATCATATCTATCAACAATGTTACCTGCCAATCCAGTTATTGTCATTGTAGCCAGAGAAGTAGTACTCGTACCCCTAAAGTAGAAAGATACATGACATAGCTGGCTAGTTTGGCACCTAACCAAAACAACAAATCTGATGCTGGACTTTCATATTTGGACATTTCTAGGTACACCAGTGCACCCTTTCTTTAATAGTTGTGCTAACTGTCTTAATGTTTCAGTCTTTCAAACTGCATTGTAATATCACAAGAACTATATTTCTTTTTCTTTTTCCTCACAAAAAGGAACTGTATTTCTGCTAAAAACCAAAAGGAACTTTGCTGCTACAGTGCTACTCAAATTGCTAGCTGAAAAAGACATGGGACATTGTTCTTCCAACATTTTTTTGAGTATTACATTTTCCAGCGTATGGGGAACAGTGAAAAAAAGAAGGGGGCTAATTTTACCTTGGTTAACTTAAACATGATTTGCACAGGGTAATTGAGGAAGGCGAGTGAGGCCATTGGAGCCTATGCACGTAGGTCCGCCACGGGTTCACCATCTGCTTCACGAACCCCTGCACAAACGTGAAGTACCAGCCGTAGCTACAGGCACATGGCGAAACAATTCAGAAACATTTGGTTTTGACGCCAAAGAATTTTCAACCAACAGGTCAAACATTTTATAAATTGGAAGATACTGACATACAACTGAATTTATCTGTAAGACCATACTTTGTAGACAAGCGAACGTAGTTGAAACGTCCTAGCTGGCAGAGGAAAACAAGGATCAGTGCATTAGAATCCTGTAGTATTTGCCATTTCCGAGTAAAAAGCTCACTGTTAATAGAAACTCTACACCGAATAGCGACAAGCAGGATACAACTGACAGACTGATCTGACAAAAGCTCATTGAAAAAGAAATCTACATGGCCAAAAATTTTTGAGACGAACCTGAAAACAAACATTGCATTTGCTACGCAAACATTGCTTGCTCCTGCTCAGAAAAAAAGAAAAACAAATTGCTTGCCTGCTAAGAAAAAAAAGAAAAACAAATTGCTTGCTTGCTCCCTGTTACTAACCCTTCACAACAAAATTTGTTTTGTACTGATCATTGTATCCCATTTTTGCTTTTGTTTGAACCACTAAATTTGTGCAAATCTCTTATTTTCCCACTTTTTAAGAGCTACTCAATACTCATAAGTGCCAGAGCTCCATTTAATGAAGCAGATTGAGCAGCTCACGTTGTTGCAAAAGAGTGAAAAATACAGATGGAATCGCAATCTTTGGTTACCCCCGATGGGATCCCATCAGCGATCTGCCAGAATGTGCATCGAAACAATCGAATCGAATCGGCAATGACCCAAGCAAAAATAATTAAAAAAGATTTACCTATATCAGAGCGGAGAGTCTGGCCGGCGAGGGAGCCAGTGCTTATTCATCGAGCAGCTAGCAGGCACGGATCCAGATCGCCGTCACCGCGAGCACGACGATGGCGGAGCGTGACGCGGCACTCCTCCTTGCTATGGCCCAGCAGCAGCGCGCGAACCGAGCAGAACTGCGAGGGAGATGGCGACGGCGGAGGCCAGCCAAGAGCGGCGCACGAAGAGGGCAGTTGGAGTGGAGCAGGTTGAGATGGGCGTGGCGGCGGCTGGGTCTGCAAGGACGTCGGCACATCCGTCCGCACCTCCATGGATTCGTCCTCTCCACGGAACTTCCTTCACTTCCACAGCCCACAGGAAACAAATCGGAGACCAGATGAGCACACGAACCTGCACCTCCCGCACGGTGAGCGCGGCGTTGGGGCCTCCAGCTCGGGCCGCTCCAGTGGCTCCCCGTCCTTTCTCCGCACCGCGACCTCGCCTGGACACCTGCTCCTCGCCTCCTCTGCCGTCCTTCCCGTGCCGCCGCGGCAGGGGCGAAGGCGCAGAGCCGAGTTTGCCCGCGCAACGGGACGCGGGGGAGGCAGGTGCCCAGGATGGAGTCCCGGTGGGGGAGACAGGTGCCCGCGTAGCGGATGGAGTCCCGGTGGGGGAGGGCAGCAGGGATAGGCGGCGCGGAGCGAGGCGCCCGAGCGGCGCTCCTTCTCCGTCTAGGCGCTCCGTCCTCGGAGCAGTGAACGACGGAAGAGGCAATCGCACCGCGAGGCAGACGTAGGAGATTAGGACGTGCGGTATCGCAAGGGAGGGGGGGCGACGGCTACGGCGGAGGAGCGAGGCCGGCGGGCGATGGCTGCGCGATGGGATCGCAGGGCCCTATGGGATCGATGACGAGGAGATATCGTGACCGGAAAGGAATGTTTTGGAGCGGAGATTCGGAGTCGCGTGGAGGTGGGACACACGGACGGGAGAGAAGAGCGACCAAAAAAAAAAGTCGTACGAAAAAATAGCCTTATTTTGTTGTTCTGTATCTTCTCTAAACTTTCACTTCTGGTCTTGTAGGAAACAAGTTAGGATAAGATATCTTTGATAAGATTGATACAACTAGGCTTAATGCTCTCCTGAAGGATAGTTCCATCACATTGGATGGAATTGTAAGTTGAAAGAATCTTGTCTTACTTTCAAGCTTTTTAGTTTTGCACAGATACTTAGAGCAACTGATGTAAATGTATTGTTTTTTCTGGTATTTTAGTTTGTATAAAGGTTACTTGTACCTACAGCTCAACTTAATGCAAACAAGTAGTTTGTCAATGTTACACAGTTGGTCATATCTTCAATTCTTTTTACACCTCTGATTATTAACTTCCAGATAACAACATGTAAGCATTTTTATTATGCTTCGTTCATGTGACTACCATCATGTTAAAATGGTCTAAGTGTATATGTACTTGTCATGGATTTTTAAACCAGTAGCAACGCACGGTCATTAACCTAGTTGTACAAAAAATTACAATATTTTGTTTCCTGTATTTTTGCCAGCCTGTTCGCTTGCTCGTAAACGATCGTAAATTTCCAGCCGGAAACAGTGTTTTTCTCTCACGCCAAACTAGCCAGCAGTAAATAATCCACGATACGATACGGCCTCCCGAACAGGCTGTTGCTTATCTTTTCTCAGGCTCTACATCGTTTGGTCAACATTCTACTTTTGCTAAGAGTTGAATGTTCCGTGAAACAAACTGCTCCTTTTTTGCTGCTGGATTTGGCGGAAGAAACAGATAATGGCTTTTGATGGAATCGATAGGATGAATTTCATTTGTTGAAAATACCCAGCAAAACTATGTCAAGGTGCTTGTAAAATTTGTAGAGTTGCTTCATTTTTTGGTATACTAAACTGCAAATACAATGAATTATACAGCTATATGGAGGATCGAAACTAGAATACAGTATTGGCAGAATTACATGGATTTTTTGTTTTGTTTTATGTTCGATGCTCTGTTTTGCCGATAAATTGTGTCAAGTTCTGTTGTGCAAGTGAGCACTGTCACCTAGCCGTCACAATGCTGCAGATTATGCGGGAAGATAGTAGCGTGAAAAACAAACCAGAGCATTTTTCCTGCCTGATAAGTTGAAGCAAGGCTGCTGGATAGGTTCAGCGCAGAAAAGGTTATTCTCCTCATGCCAATACTTGGTATACATCTTACAACATCATCCAAAGAATGAACAAAAGGAAGCTACCAAGAAATCCTACATCACAACCACAGTTGGACCCTTAGTTTTGCAATTTGCATAAACATATGAACGAATTGTCCCTGCGCCTTCAGGCTGCGCCACTGCAGAGGTGGCCATTGCCGCTGCACATGGACGGGTTCCTGACCAAGGCGTTCTCGCCCTCGACGAGTGGTATGTGCGGCTCCTCCTCGTCCAGCGCCGCCCCCTCGACGTCCTCGTGCGTCAGGAAGCACGGCTGGTTCGTCGAGCACAGCACCCGCGCCCACATCCGGTCCGTGATCACCACCTTGTTCTGCTTCTCGGTGATCCTCTGCAAGATTCAATTCAATGGCCGGACAGACAAGGTCAGTTCACTACTGCAGGGAGAGTAGAAATTTCATGGTGAAAAACAGCTACT